GCCGCGCGCCCGGGTAGGAGCCCGGCCTGGCTTGGGGAGGGGGCGGCGGGGGGACGCTCGGGGCCGGGGGGGTGCGTCTAGCGTCGGTGAGGTGCGCCCGAGACCTCCCTACGCCAAACGCGCGGGCCCCTTCGGCCGCCCTCGCAGACGCCGGCTCCGCTCCAGGCCGAGCCTGGGCGCCGGGCCACGACGGTGCATCCAAAGATACCTCGGACGAGAAGTCTGCTGAGGAGAGAACGGGGTGCAGTGGGCGCCCCGAGGGCTGACACGCGGTGTCCGAGATTTCAGACCTAGTAAAGGGGACCCTTGGGCCGGGTTGTGAAGGCCATAAGGAGAAGTCCGAGAGGGAATTCCAAGCAGATGGAATGGCATGTGCAAACGCCCCGGCAGGAGTGTGGCTGGAGTCAGGATAGAGGGAGGGTGAGGGTCGAGGGAAGATGGAACGGCGCTGCTGAGAGGAGGGAGCCGGGGAGGTCTTGAGGAAGGTGAGACTCGGAAGGACAGATTTGAGTCTTAGAAAGAGTGGGCGCGGGTGGGAGGAAGATGGTGATGGAGGTGGGCACCAAGGAGCCTGTGCTCAGAGTGGACCAGAAGCGGGAATCGAAAGGACAATGACGTGCACCGGGATCAGAAGGATGTGGAATTCGCGGGTGGGGATACTGGGTGCGCGGAGGGGCCGCACAGAGGTGGGGCGCCACGAGGAGAGAGCTGGGGAACCTAGTGGGGGACAAGCAGGGGACAGGCCCTGCCGGAGGGCAGCGGGCCCAGGACCTTGCGCGGAGGGTGAAGAGCAGAGGACAGGACGCCCGGAGTGGGCGCAGGGGTGGGAGGACCTGATCTGCTCGTCGGAGGTGACGGCGAAATCAAGGGCATCTCCGTGCAGGGGCAAGGAGCCGGCTGTGGGCGCGCCTTGGGGCTGTGGGGGGGCGCCGCGCGGGTAGGAAGCTGGAGAGGCGGCCGCGGGGCTCTGGGCTGGGTCCCGTTGGGGCGCCCTGGGCCGCAGGGCCGGGGGAGGCCGCGTCCGGGGGCACGGCGGTCGTTGCAGGCAAGGGGCTGAGGGGGCCGCGCGGGGTTTCCGAGCTCGGATCCCGAGGCGCGCAGACCCCTCCCCGCTTCAAGCCCCGCCTCCGGGGCGGGGGCCGGCCTGGCCCGCCATCTGCTTCTCATCGACGCCGCCACCGCCGCCTCCCGGGCCTCCCCGGCCCCAAGAATGCAGCGGCGGTGGCGGGCGGGGCGTGCCTGGAGAGGGGGAGGGCGCACTCGCTGCCCAGCCCTGTCTGTCCGCCTCAGCCCTCCTTCCCCATGGGGGTCCGTGCTGGGGGATCCGGTGGCAGGCTGGTGCTGTCGGGAGCCTGCTCCCATTTCCCTCGCCCGGAGATCTCCCCATGAGGCGGCCTATTACACTAGCCAAGAGCCCGGGTTTGGGTTACAGATCCTGGAACCACCTCTCTCCACCTATGTGGACCCAAGCAAGCTGCTTAACCTCTCTGGACCTGTCTCCCCCTGTCAAACAGGGTTGGTGGTGCTCCCGACCTCATGGAGTGGAGGGGGATGACTGCAATCATGTATGGAGCTGGTTAACAGGAAGGTCAGCTACTGTGGGCACTACTCACTCCAGGTCTGGGCCATCTCTTTTATCTCCCCAAGGCCAGGCCTGGCAAGGCTCCCTCAGGTGGCTCCCTTCCCCGGGAGGCAGGAGGACTAGACTGCTGTGTGTCCAGCCTGCGGCTGGTGCAGTGATACAGCAGCAGACACAAACGCCCCTGCCCCCAAGGTGGAGGGGACTTAGAGCAAGTCCTCTGACGTCCAGCAAGTGCTGGGGAGGAGGTGTTGAGTTGGGGAGTGCTGTTTCCCTTCAGGTGATCCGGGGAGCAGAGGCCCACAGGAGAGGAGGTGGAGCCCTGGGGTGTCCCAGCCAAGGCCCTGAGTGCAAAGGGCCTTGATGGACATGGGGGCTGGGCAGAGCCAGGGGGCGGGGGAGGAGGGTAGAGGCCAGAGAGTAAGGGTGGACAGGCCACAGGGGGTCTGTCCACACTTGTGAGGACTTGAGCTTTTTGCCTGAGGGCCGTGGGAACCCCTGGTGGCTTTGCACAGAGGACAGGTGGGATCTGACCAGGGTTGGCTGCCAGGTGGCAGATGAACTGGCAGATGAACTGAAGTGGCAGATGAACTGGGGGGTAGGAGGGCAGAAAGCAGGGTCAGTTAACTGGGGGTAGGAGGGCAGAAAGCAGGGTCAGTTAGGAGAAGCCAGAGAGAGCGAGGGTGGCTCTCACAAGGCTGGGGCAGGGCAGGGAACACGTGGCCCATCCCATCCTTGATCCAGTTTGGAATGTGGAGCCGGCGTGTTTCTTTTTTTCTTTTTGTGAGGAAGATCGGTCCTGAGCTAACATCTGCCAACCTTCCTCTTTTTTGCTGAGGAAGACTGGCCCTGGGCTAACATCCATGCCCATCTTCCTCTACTTTATATGGGATGCCGCCACAGCATGGCTTGACAAGTGGTGTGTCCCTGCGCTCCCGGGATCCGAACCGGCGAACCCCCGCAGCAGAGTGCACGCACTTAACCGCTTGCGCCACCAGGCTGGCCCCAGAGCCAGCATGTTTCTGATGGATCTGGTATGCGCTGTGAGAGCAGAATACAGGCTGCCTCCAGGGTTTCAGCCTCCCAGCCTGGAAGGACAAGGCTTACCTGAGGTGGGGAAGACTCAAGGTCGGGGGAGGCTAGGAGTTCAGTTTTGAGCGGGGAGGGCCCCGCTGGAGAGCTCCACAGCATTGTCCGTGTCTTGATGGGACCCAGAGAGCTTCCTGAAGGAGCTAGTGTGGACAGAGGAGAGGAAAAGAGAGACCCAAGGAGAGGATCAGAAACCAGTGGAGGGATGTCCAGGGGGGCAGGAGGGGAGCCAGGCAGGTATGGGGTCCCAGGTAGTATGGGGGCAGAGTAGCCTCCTGGCAGGATTGGGGAGAGAATGGGGCCGGACATTGGCACAGTAAACAAGCAGTGTTCTCTGGGAGCTTTGCTGCAGTGGCGTGGGCAGGTTCAAGATCACGGTTTAAATCATGGCAGCTTTGTTTGCAATAACAGTGAACCATAGAGGGGGCAGCCTGCAGGACGGCCTGCTTGCTGAGGGGCCTGGGCCCAGCCCGTGGCCTGGCACCACAGGGTCTTGCCAACTTAGAGCTGGAGTGCAGGGAGTGGCCTCCGCACCAGGCCGTCTTTCTCCTCATCTCACTTTTGTATGATCTCAGGAGAAGGGGCTTGCCACCTCAGCCCGGCCTTGTCTGCCAGCCCTTTCCAGAAGGAAAGGTGGCTGTCCCACAGGGTCGTCCTCCTATTCTTGGTGATCCCTCATGTGTTCCGTCCTGCTGAGAGATGTTAGTTCTGCTAGGGTGGGGCCAGGGTGCCGGCCATGCTGGAGGAACCAGGTGAACTCAGAGGCTTCCTGGAGCCTGCTCAGCATGGGCTGGTGAGCAGACTACAGCCTTGGCTGAGCTCTTAGTTCATGCTAAACGCTTCACACGACTTCATTCTCTTAATCCTTCTGCCAAACCCATGGGCCCCATTCAACAGATAAGGAGACTGAAGCCCAGAGAGGTTAAGTTCCATGCCCAGCTCACATAGCAAGTGGCAGACCCAGGCATCAAATCTAGCTTAGTGTGGCCCTAAAACCAGGCTCTTAACCACAGAACCATTGGCCAGGGCGGAATGTGGTCAGTGCTTCCAAGGCCATCCCAGCAGGCCATCTGGCAAAGCTGCCTGCAGGAGGGACACCTGCAGAGGCTCTCTACCCACGGACCTGGGTTCAGAAAAGGCAGGAGGGTGATGGGCCAGCAGACCTGGGTCTACCTGCAGACCGGCATCTAGGAGCCCTGGGCAGGGCTGGGTGGGTGGAGACAGTGGAGGGGGGACAGGAAAAGCTAGGCCTGCTTTGTGTTGCTGTGTCTGCTTTCCAGTTTTATTTGTGGAAAATAAGCTGGGCCCATTGCCTGCAGTTTGGGATTTTATGGGTCGTGTTCCACAGGTCCCACATCTTTGGCCTGAGGGAGAAGCAAGCCCTTTCGGTGGGGTGGGGCACTGGGGAATGGTTGGGGGGCATCTTCTGAGGGGCATGAAGTGAGGCAGCTGCAGCCTTTCCCTTCCCAGCCATTCCCACTCCACCAAGGTCCTCAGGCCCCCTCCCAGCCTCCTCCCACCGCCACATCCAGGTTCTAGGTTCAAATCCTTCTAAAGAAGCACACTCTTTTTCTCTAAAGTGTGAATGGCTGCTATGTGCCTTTAGGATTTGGGTGAAGTTCTCTTAGGTCTGATGGGATCCCAGGAAACTGCAGCTTGAGTGTCTGTTCCTTCTCAGCCTCCTCTGTCCCACAATGTGGGCACACCCCAGCTCAGCCCTCATGCACCCTCTCCAGTGGTTATGGCTTCACATGGGCAGGGCCTCCAAACCTTTGTGCCCACACATCCCATGAGCCCAGGGTTTTGGAGGCTGCACCACCCCGATATGCGACAGTTATAAATTATTTACCTCCTACTGAGGTAACATTGTTCACCTTTTAAAGCTAAATAAAGTTAAGTAAGATTTTATAAAAGTATAAATAGATGCTCTAATATCTCCTTCCTCCACCTCCTGTCTTGCCCCGGTGCTCTGGAGCCCTCACAGTCTTTCCTTACTCTCATGGAGGACTCCCCAGATGTGCCCTGCCCCTCCAGGAGACCCCTCCACCCAGTCGACACCTCACTGTGGCCTCACCCACCTCACTGAGAGGCTGCCCATCTGCCTTGGTGCTTACCCACAACTGGGCATCCAGGTGTGTCCGTCTGGCCCAGCCAGTCCTGGAGCTGTCCAGGTCATGTCACATCTAGATCACTGACACCCATCTGGCCCGGCCCCTACCCCCAGGGATGCCCTAGACCTCCATGCTTGAGCAGGTCCTGGAGGCCCAGGGACCTCTCCCCAGCCCCCCACCTCACTGCTGCCCATCCTGGGACGTGTGGGGTCTCTTCTCAGTGTCTAGTGGATGGGGAAGAAGGGCACAGAGGAGTTAGAGGGATGGGAAGGGGTGGCTAGACCCCTTGTAGAGGGGACTGAGAAATTCTTGGAGGTTAGATCTGTTGGTGGTCTGCCCTCTGTCGCTTCCCAGTGTCCGCTCCCCAAGGGCTGGCATTTGTGTCTTTCTCATTCACTGGGTATCTCCTGAACCTACCACAGTACCCAGTACAGAGTGGGCCCTCGGTAACCACCTCCTGAGGGCAGGGCGGAGGTTGCTGGGGAGCCCCAGTGAGGGCGGGGATTGGGGCTCAGGCTCAGGCGCCCTCTCTCTGCCTGCAGCTCCCAGGAGCCCACGTGCTGCACCGGCTGGAGGCAGCAGGGGGACGAGTGTGGGATCGGTGAGTGAGGCATCCTGGGGGCCTGGGCGGGGGCACCCAGGGGAAGGATGGGGGGCGCTGGACGCGTAGTAGCTCGAGCTCCTCTCGTCCGCAGCGGTGTGCGAAGGCAACTCCACGTGCTCGGAGAACGAGGTGTGCGTGCGGCCGGGCGAGTGCCGCTGCCGCCATGGCTACTTCGGTGCCAACTGCGACACCAGTGAGCGCGCATTCAGGCGGGCGCTGGGCAGTGGAGTGGGAGCCTAGAGAGATGGGCGGGGCCTGTGAGTGGGGCGGGGTTTGACCCGGGAACAGGATCCAGCTTGGGGGCGAGTCCCCAGAGGCGGGGGGTGAGACGCGGGCAGGTTCAGAGTGGGTCTGTGCTCCCTCGCGAGCGCCCGGGCTTCCCACTCTCTCCGCTCGCTCCTGCAGAGTGCCCGCGCCAGTTCTGGGGCCCCGACTGCAAGGAGCTGTGTATCTGCCACCCACACGGGCAGTGTGAGGATGTGACGGGCCAGTGTACGTGTCACGCGCGGCGCTGGGGCGCACGCTGCGAGCATGCGTGCCAGTGCCAGCACGGCGTGTGCCACCCGCGGAGCGGCGCGTGTCGCTGCGAACCTGGCTGGTGGGGCGCGCAGTGCGCCAGCGCGTGCTACTGCAGCGCCACGTCGCGCTGTGACCCACAGACGGGCGCATGCCTGTGCCACGCAGGCTGGTGGGGCCGCAGCTGCAATAATCAGTGCGCCTGCAACACGTCGCCGTGTGAGCAACAGAGCGGCCGCTGTCAGTGCCGTGAGCGCACGTTCGGCGCGCGCTGCGAGCGCTACTGTCAGTGCTTCCGCGGCCGCTGCCACCCTGTGGACGGCACGTGCGCCTGCGAGCCGGGCTACCGCGGCAAGTACTGCCGGGAGCCGTGCCCTGCCGGCTTCTACGGCCTGGGCTGCCGCCGCAGGTAAGCGCGGGCCCCCAGCCGGCGAGGAGGGAGGAAGAGGGGCGGGCCCCCGAAGGGGGCGGGGGTGAGGCGGCGCCGGGCCCCGCCTAGCTTCCCGCCCCTTCCCCAGATGCGGCCAGTGCAAGGGCCAGCAGCCCTGCACGGTGGCCGAGGGCCGCTGCCTGACGTGCGAGCCAGGCTGGAACGGCACCAAGTGCGACCAGCCGTGCGCCACCGGCTTCTACGGCGAGGGCTGCGGTCACCGCTGCCCGCCATGCCGCGACGGGCATGCCTGTAACCACGTCACCGGCAAGTGCACGCGCTGCAACGCGGGCTGGATTGGCGACCGGTGAGCAGCCCAGGCCCGAGTCAGCCCCAGACACGCAGCCCCCCAGCCCTGCCTCCGCCCAGATGCCTCCCGCGGAGGGCACTATGGGCTTTGGGTTCGTTTGCCCCCATTTCCGCGGATGCCCCTTCCCCGCGTTTCTAGGTGCGAGACCAAGTGCAGCAATGGCACTTACGGCGAGGACTGCGCATTCGTGTGCGCCGACTGCGGTAGCGGCCACTGCGACTTCCAGTCGGGGCGTTGCCTGTGCAGCCCCGGCGTCCACGGACCCCAGTGAGTGCCCGGGGACCCAAAGGGGTTGGGGGGTACGTACCCGACACAGGGCTTCCGCTAGACCCCAGGTGCTGCTGGCTAGGGCGTGACAACAGGCTCTTTGGGGCAGTTTCCTGCCCTGATGTGGAGCCGGGGCTCGGAGCGGGACCTGGCGACCCGTTCAGCCTGTGGTCAGTGGGCTCCTGAGGACTGCAAGGCTGAGGAGACCCCGAGCTGGTGTAGAGCGACCAGGGACCTCCACTTAGAGCCAAGGGCCTGGTCTGGTAACCCCTCTTCCCACTCACACGGAACTCAGCCCCAGAAATGGCACTGCCACCGGGTGGCCATGGATCCTGTCCCCTAGACCCCTTCCCGTGCACACATTCATTTCCAAGACATTGATCGCCCAGCCTGTGCCAGAAAGGGTGTGTGTGTGTGTGGGGGGGGGTGTTGGTTGCATCAGTCCTTAGAGAAGGGAGCTAGAGAAGCGGCTCCAGGACCGCCGCTGGCTGGCCACGGGGGCGAGGGTGGGAGGCGTCACCGAGGGCCACTGTGGCCCTCCCTGACTCCGCGACCCCGTAGCTGTAACCTGACGTGCCCGCCCGGGCTCCATGGCGTGGACTGTGCCCAGGCCTGCAGCTGCCACGAGGACTCGTGCGACCCTGTCACTGGTGCCTGCCGCCTGGGTGAGTGGGTGGGGGAGGCGTCCCTTTGGAGGCGGGGGTGGGGGTGCTTGCACCCGCGCTGACCCGGTGTCCCCCACAGAGACCAACCAGCGCAAGGGCGTGATGGGCGCGGGCGCGCTGCTTGCCCTGCTCCTCGGCCTGCTGCTCTCGCTGCTCGGCTGCTGCTGCGCTTGCCGCGGCAAGGACCCCGCGCGCCGGTGAGCCCCGACGCCGTCCCGCTCCCTACTGGGTTCAGACAGCAGCCTGTGTAGGGCGCCGCCCGCCCTGCCCCTGGCTCAGGCCCAGGCCCCGCCGCTGGGGCGCGGCCCTGCCTATCTTTAGCTCAGGCCTTGCCCTCCAGTGTTTTGGCTCTCGTCATGATCGGAACGCCCTCTCCAGGCCCCGCCCCGTCCCCGCCCCCTCATTCAGGCCCCGCCCCCTCAGGAAGCTCAAGTTTGGGAGGAAGAAGGCGCCCCAGCGACTGTGCGGGCGCTTCAGCCGCATCAGCATGAAGCTGCCCCGGATCCCGCTCCGCAGGCAGAAGCTGCCCAAGGTCGTAGGTAAGGATGCCAGCACGGGGTCTCTGGTGGAACACCTCCCTACGCAGGAGGCTCCTGGGGAATTGGTGGGAAGGGATCGGTGTAGGAAATGCGGGGCCTCGAATGTTGATATGGGTGGGCGTGGGGAGGTGCGACCAGAGGGAAGGAAAGGGGGGCTGCGGACTCGGGCGAGCCCGGGGAGGAAGGCAGGAGTCCTGGGTGTGCGGGCAGGTGTGGGGCGTGTATGGGAGGCGTGGGGTCCTGTCCCGGTGAATGTGAGTGATGGTATCTGGCTGTGGTGGGGGTGTGTGGACATCCAGGTCGGGCAGGCCCCCCACAGTCTGTTGGAGTACACTCTAAGTCCTGGTGGGGGCTGCAGGTGAACGCAGGGCATTTGTGCGTGGGAATACTCTGCCACAAGAAGACCCACCCCCTGCCGGGATCCCCGGCAGTGCCCTGAAGGTGGTCCGTCAGCCTCCCCACCCTACCGCAGGACTCCGGGTGGGGGGGGGGGAGGTGCTGCTTCTCTCTGTCTACGCTGACCACTTGTTTCAGAAGATGAGGGGGAGGGGAAGACTCAGTCTCCTGGGAGGTAAACATTGAGACAGTTGAGAAAGGGCCTTGGCCCACTCAGCAGAGTGGAATCTGGACACAGGTGTAGGGGCTGGACCCTACATCTCATCTGTGAAAGGGCAACAGACCAGCCAGCCTCTGGGATTCCCCCCATTGTGGGGTCTCCAGCCGTGCAGGCCAGGCCTGGGGGTGCAGCCTGCTGCAATGGGCTGAGCCAAAGTGCAACCTTGCCACTGCACATATGGGCTGAAAAAATGCTCCAAGGCTCCCCGGGTCCCATGAGGCAGGGTCTGAAGCATGGCTTGGAGGCCCTGATGGCAGGTCCCAGCTAGATATTCTCTGGCCCTGTCTCTTTTCCAATACTTCAGCCCAACCTTTTTCAGTTCCCTGGCTTGCACGAGGTAGCCTTGCATCTTTGAGTATGCTATTCCCTCTTCTCTCTCTTTTCTCGGGTCACTGCTACCCGTCCTCTGGTCCTGGCCTAGTGTCACTCAGCCTGTTGAATTGCCTGTCCCATCCACAGTCTTAGGGTAGGGTTGGTGTTGGACACTCCATTTGTGGCAGGAGGGCTAGGGATGACACAGGTTGGGGCAGGGCGGGGCCCCTGGCAGCTGTGCCTCCCTTCTTCCCCAGTCGCCCATCACGACCTGGATAACACACTCAACTGCAGCTTCCTGGAGCCACCCTCGGGGCTGGAGCAGCCCTCGCCATCATGGTCCTCCCGGGCCTCGTTCTCCTCCTTTGACACCACTGATGAAGGCCCCGTGTACTGTGTACCCCATGAGGGTGAGTACCGCTCTGCTTGCACCTGGCTCCAGCCCAGTGAAATGTTCCAGCTTATAAGACCTATGTACTCTGGGGGACAGGCAGTATAGAGAGGAAGGGCATGGTGATGCTGTTAACAGGTTGGACATACAGCAGAGGCTGCAGAGTGGGGTTCTGTGTTGCCTGGCACCCAGCTGCGGTGGGATCTGGGGAGGTCGGTGGCTCTCCTGTCTCTCGCCACAGCCCAGGTTCACTTCTAGGAGAGACCAGGCAGAGAGAAGGTTCTGGGCCTGAGTAAGAGGTGGCAGAGGGGATAGGAGTGGGGGAGGGGGTCTGTAAAATATGGGGGCATACCTTCCCTTAAAGCCTTGGCCCACACACATCAGGAAGGAGCCTGATGGGCTGGGATTCTGGCCTCTCTCCTCCTCTGACCATCCCCCTAGGTGACCTTGGGCAGGTAACTAACCTCTGAGCCTTAGAAGCCTTATCTCCTAAAGAAGGATAATAATCTCCTTGGAGGTGTTCTGGGGTCAGATTTGATGATGGTGGCCCCCGAGGCTGGGGATGTGGTGGGGGAGGGGTGCGAGATGAGGCCGAGGTCGGGGCTCAGCTATGGAACTGCCCCTCAGCCCCTAGCACTCAGCCGCACGCTCTGGGGCTCTGAACTGTTTGTGGTTAGCGCTGTGTGGTTAATGCGCCGGGTATATCTGGATGGCAGGGCGACTGAGCACCAGCCTGGCCGGGAGGAGAGGGAAGAGAAGGAGGGGGGAAGGGAAGGCACGGGTTTGCCCCTGGATGCTGGACGGCCAGAGCTCTTTCCAGAGTTGGTGACCGCCCCGCTCTTCCCTTGTCAGAGGCGGCAACCGAGAGACGGGACTCGGAGGCCCCTGCCTCCCCTGCTGAGGCACTGGCGCCCTCGCCCGCGCCGGCGTCGGCGTCGGCTGAGGAGCTGACGCCCCTCCCTGCGTCCTCCGACAGCGAGCGGTCGGCGTCGAGCGTGGAGGGGCCTGGCGGGGCGCTGTATGCGCGCGTGGCCCGGCCGGCCCGGGCCCGGGGCGAGGCTGGAGGCCTGTCGCTTTCGCCATCGCCTGAGCGCAGGAAGCCGCCACCACCCGACCCCGCCACCAAGCCCAAGGTGTCTTGGATCCACGGAAAGCACGGCGCCGCCGCCGCTGCCCGTGCGCCCTCGCCGCCACCTCCAGGTCTCGAGGCCGCGCCCAGCCCCAGCAAGAGGAAACGGACGCCCAGCGACACGTCGGCGCGGCCGGAGGAGCCCGGCAGCCCCCGGGCCCGAGACCTAATGCCACGGCCCCCGGGGCTTGCCGAGGGGCC